AATTTGAAATACAAGTTTCAACAACACACCTATTTGTTAAAGAAGTTGTTAAAATAATATTGAAATTTAAAAATGATTGCATTAAACTACCTAATATTGAAGAATTTGAACAATTATCAAATAAATTCATGATATATTCTGTTTTTCCTAATACTATATTAGTTATGAATGATACACATATTCCAATAACCAATCCAACTAATAGTAGAGAAAGATTTATAAACAGAACAAAACACGCAAACATATGTTTTTAATAATGGCTAATGCAAATTTTAAAATAAGATATCTTTTTGGCGGCATATTTGGATAATCATATGAATCAACTGTGTTTAAGTTGTCAAAAATTATAGAATGGTATGATAATATTTTTATTGATATTAAGTTAAACCATCATATATTGGGCGATGCAGCATATCCAAAATTTGATTATATTAAAAAAACATTTAAAGGTATACTAAATGATTATAAGTCAAGATATAATGATTTACTAATACCACAGAGAGTGGTTGTTGAGAGGACAATTAGTTTTTTAAAAGGAAAATTTTAAAGATTTCATCATGAAATAAAGAATGGTGGAAATGAATTTACTTCTAAAATGGTTTATGCTGTTGTAATTTTTTATAATTTGACAATAAATGATAGATTAAACAACACACAAGATCAATTAATTAATGAAATAATAAATGAATAAATTACAAATGAATAAAATAAAATTTATTGATCTTTAAAAAGTCTTTGTATAATTTCTAGTATCTTATCATTACTCGTTTTGAATTCATCAACTATTTTTTCTAATCTAGTTACTCTTTTATCTACAGTCTGTGTTTCTTCTGGTGATTTAATTAATTTTTTAATAAAAAAATCTTTTGTTGGAAATCTTCTCTAAAAAATTCATAATTGTTAAAAAGTTGGATTTTATCTTTTCCTACTTTTTAATGGTATTATCGTCATCATACACACTTGCTAATTCATTTTTGAAATTTTCATCATCGTCGATAGTTAAAGAATCATGATAATTTGGTGCAACCAATTCACATCCCTTTATTTCACTATGTAAAATATCTTGATAAAATTTTTACCTCACTTCACCACCATCACTTTTGTTTGATTCCAACTTACGCTTTTTAAATCTTTTTATTAAGTTATTGTATTTTTCTCTGAGTTCTGTAACACTAAATTTATTGTTAAACTCTGATGCAATTTCATTCCATACCAAAGTAATCTTGTGTGGATTTGTCTTAAACATTTCAAATTTCTTATTATATACTTCATTATTTTTTAAATAAATAATCTTTTAGTCTCTTCGTCTGAAAATTTTGCCATAAATTAAGGATA